ACACACACACACACACACACACACACACACACACACACACACACACACACACACAGAGCAGCATTTAGGACAGGATCAGCTGGACAAATATGTGGATATCAAACCTCATGAACATCCCGGATGTCTCGCACACACTGAACAGCTTTGATTAGTTTAGTCATGAACGCAGCACATGCAAGCCAGCAGCAAATGTCTGTCAAACACCTTGTTATTGAGTGTCGTCTAATGGGAGGGTTAGAGTTCAGTTCAGCTAAAGCATCTGTTAAGCAGCAGATTAATTAAATTAATGACACTTTAAACATTATACATTTGCATAAATTTGAACTTTGTTGCATCACTAAGACTCAAATCATTAAAAAAAATTTAATTTTTACATTCAAAATTACAAAATTTGTCACTTTGTACAAATAAACCACCCTTTTAAGTATTTAAAATAATAAAATGTTTTATTTATTTATTTATTTATCAATCTATCTATCTATCTTCATACTTTCAGGGTTTGGGGTAGTCATTAAAAACGACAATACATGAAAAACTAAAAAAATAACATTTTAATCTGTTATATTAATGATTATAATTATTATTTAATTGTATTATTATTATTTTATTTATTTTAATTGTTATGTATGTTTGGGATAGTCAATAAAATCTTTAACAATACATAAACAACTAAAAAATAAAATTTTAATCTATTATATAGTGACGCTTATAAATAAATAGATTAATATTAATAATAATTATTATTAATTTAACTGGTTACTTTCAGGATGTGGGGTAGTCAAGAAAGAAAGAAAGAAAGAAAGAAAGAAAGAAAGAAAGAAAGAAAGAAAGAAAGAAAGAAAGAAAGAAAGAAAGAAAGAAAGAAAGAAAGAAAGAAAGAAAGAAAGAAAGAAAGAAAGAAAGAAAGAAAGAAAGAAAGAAAGAAAGAAAGAAAGAAAGAAAGAAAGAAAGAAAGAAAGAAAGAAAGAAAGAAAGAAAGAAAAAGAAAAAGAAAGACATTATTATTATTATTACTAATTTATTAGAGTTTGGGGTAGGTAATACAAACAATAATACATGAAGAACTAAAAACGACACTATTTTAATCTATTGTATAGTGATGCTAATAAATAAAAAGCAACATAAAAATGTCTTTTTTCCTTATACTGCTCCCTTAATAATCGAAGCACAATAACTGTCATGAATAAGGGTTTACCACAAAGCTCTGCTGGCATTCAGAAGAACAACTTTATAAAAGAGACAGAGAGAGCGAGATGTTGGCGAGATGTGTGTCAGGATGCAGGTCTGTGTCACAACACGCTTCGAGATTCACGAACTGCATCAATCTCTGATTCTAACGCTTGACATCTACGGCTTTGAGAGCTGGAACACACTCATGCACAAAACACTCGCCTTTGTGTGGGTAAATTCTGTCATCTGAAAAGATTTGATTCAGCTGTGTGAGTGGATATAAATATAATCTTTTGATAGAGGAGATGATAAGTGCTGTCTGATTCACTGGGAGACACCTGTGAGCTTACTGAAGCACGCTTTCCACTAAACGCTAATGATCCGTGCAGTGAGCAGAGTTAACCATCAAACCTGAACGGCAACAGTTCAACATTCAGCTGATCCTCTGATATAGTAAATCACTCTAATCAGTTTACCTATGACATGATTCATTAGCATTAAAACAGCTCATTTGCATGCACTTTATGACCTTTAATGTTCCAAAAAATATACAAGTAAAAATATAAAAAAAAAAAATTTAAAGGGGTCATATGATGTGCTTTAATGTTTTCCTTTTACTTTAGTGTGTTTTGTAGCTGTTTGTGCATGTATAAGATCTGCAAAGTTACAAAGCTCAAAGTCTCCCACAAAAGGAATTTTTCTATCTAAAAGAGAAGGCTGATCCAGACCGGGCAAAAACGCCTCACATATCTACGTCACTATGTGGAAATATTTGCATAATACCACCCAAATGGATACGCAAAGAAAGAAGGCATGGTTTCAGGTGTGACGATAGTGTTGTTGCTGACATGTTGTGGAGACGCTTTGTATTTCTATGCGAAGTCAAAAGCACTTTTTTTTGGCCTTCCGAAAGTGGACGCAATTAGGAGCCAGTGGTTAACATTTATTTACAACACTGTCCCAGAACAGTACAACCCAAATGTTCGAGTGTGTGCAGCAAAGTTTCCTGAACTTTTTCTGTGCAGAAAGTTTGTTTCTAAAAAACGGGGCAATTCCAACTTTGCTAGGACAATCTGGAGCTTCTGAATCAGAGCCCGTAAGTATGCTTTAGAATTTGCTATTGACTGTTCAAATGCGGAGTTTGGTGAAGTGTAGAGTAATGCATATTGTTTGTCGTTCTTACGATCACAAGTGCAGACAGAGATGGATTTATCTTTACAAACGTATCCTCTGTTCTCTGCTTATAACTGGCGGCAAAAAGACGACAAACATGATTCACTACGTGTTCTGCTTCACACTGGACGCTCAAGTAGAGCTGAAGCAGATCGTGCCCATTGTGCTTTCACACTGGCGGCGTCATGTGCAGGTTTACCACTCTGATATGTTCGGCTCAAGTCGTACTCAAACTGATAGAATAAAACTGATGACATTTTTAACTGTTCTTATAATTGCTTTGGAAGCTAAAGCTCACGATTATGGTAAGGGGCGCTACATTTCTGACACACGCTTGAGAAGTTCAGCCAATCACAATGCACTGGGTCAGCTGGCCAATCAGAGCACACTGCACTTTTCAAAGGAGGGGCTTTGTATAAATTGACGCGTTTTAGAAAGACTGTGCATAGAGGATCTGCAATAATGAACAGTACATGAAAAGAATGCATTTTTTGAACACCAAAGCATGCTAACATATTCTATTACACCCAATACACAAAATAATGAGCTTTGAAAATAGCATCATATGAGCCCTTTAAATTATTTATCATTCTAGTCTAATTCTAAAAAATTGTTAAACTTAAATAATAATAAAAATTATCTAAAATAATAATAATAATAAATTATTCAATTAAATTATCTAAAGATTTACTGGACAAAGCTCTGCAGAATAACTCAATTTTACCATAAAATTATTCATTAACATTAAAACAGCTTATAATTACATGCA